GGTTTAGGGTTTAGGGCTTTGGGCTTAGGGCTTAGGGTTTAGGGCGTTGGGTTTAGGGTTTAGGGTTTAGGGTTTAGGGCTTAGGGTTTAGGGTTTAGGGTTTAGGGTTTAAGGTTTAGGGTTTAGGGTTGTTTTTTTTTTGAGAAATTTGGGGTTTTTGTTTCGAGCCCTGGAAAGAGTCCGGAAGGGTCCCAAGTAGGGTTTCAGAGCGCGTCCAGCAGGGCTTCTAGGGGTTTTACGGGTTCAGGGCTTAGGGCTTTTAGGTTTGGATGGCGTTAAGTGACGACTGAGTTGTATGGGGTTCGGAGCACTGCACGGGATTTTAGGATCCGGGATATGAGTGGGTCTGGAAGGAATTCTTCAAAAGCTGGAGTCTTTGACAAGCAACGCTTTTGGTTTGAAGGGCATCCGTGCTTGCGGTTTCACTGCTCAAGGCCTCAGGCTCCAATATTTCATATCTCTTTAAAACTGAGATTCTGAATAACTCGTACTCTTATGTCCTTGTAGTTCGAAAATATTTGTAGCAAAATGTATTCAAAGCATGCCCCAAAACCGTGTTCTAAGTATTCCAAGTATCGACGAGATACCCTGTGATGTGGGCTTTGCGAGTTTCGCACGCATCTTCTGCGAGGAGACGAATGCCAAAGATGAATTTGTCACCGAATGAGAACAGCAGCTTGGCTTCGCAACGAGATAGATTAAGCCTCGCCCCAATGTTGCCCATGTTTTGAGTGTTCTGGATAGTCTGGTATTGTCAAGCGTTCCCAAGCAGCAAGACAACGCTGAACCGAAAATCTTTTTGCGACAAACCTGGAAACACCCCCCGCCCAACCGCCACCCACCCATCCCATGACCGCAGAGACACACCAGGCTACGGTGCTTCTGTTAGCGCCCTCGCCAGCTGCGGGCGCTGGGTGGGGGCGGCAGCGCTGCTGGAAGAAATGCAGGTGCAAGTTTAATTAAAGCCTAGGGGTTTCGGTTGAAAGGCTTTTGAGTACATTGGTCGGTGAAAATCACGAAGGGTATCCTGCCCAAACATGTTCCAGGAAGGCATTTTCTATGGCGTATTGAGTTTTCAGATGAATTTCAGATTTGTTATAGCAATGCCGAGAGGGTTACTACTTTCAGGTGCAGGGAAGATAAACAATCCTTCACGCGGGGAGCTGTTGCTGAGGAGGTCCGGAAGCAGTCGTTCTTCGTCGAAGCCGTGGGGCAGAATATATGATTGCATAGACTGCGCAAAGTGCTCATACATAAATGCTCTTGAACTTGTTTCGATACTTGGGACAAGGCCTCGCTGCCGGAGAAGGTACTTTGATCGGACAACCAAGCAGAATCCGTCAGTTCCAATACCGAAGTATGGCAATCGACCTACTCCGGTTGACTCCAAAGCCCTCTCGAGGTGGATCCCTCAATCACAATCCGTTTCAGGACCCTTGCCTTTTGCATGGCATCTTACCTTAGGGATCCAGAGTGGGACCTAAACTCTAAACACTTAAAACCCTAAGTCCTAAACCCAGAGCGCCACCCAGATCCATCCCACCACAACTCTCTGCCAGCAGTGCCGCTTGCTCCAAAGTCTGCCGGCCTTGAGCGCTTCTTTAGTCGGTGCCGCCAAGTTGCAGTTTGAGCATAGAGCTTTGGGTTTCGGGGGCCGTAACCCATAGACTCCTCGAAAACCCCTTTAGTTGGCAGTTGGCAGTTACCATAACCTGTGGAGGATTCATGAGGATTCCTCGATATGATTTAAAGATACTTGAAGCATACTCTTGAGCTAAATTACAGGGATTCGATTATCTACGAATTGGGGATTGGGAGGTTGGATGTTTCTCGTATCATTCGTTGTACGTTTTTGCCTCTATGTTGCATTCGGATGCCGGGTGCAAATTGTGGGTAGAATCTTCATCGTTCGGGTTTGGGTCTGTGGGTTTGCGTTTTCGGCTCTGCCACGAAAGGTTCAACAACGTATCCTGGCAGCTGCAACCGTTGTGTAGGACTTGCTTAGCTGTGCCACGACATTGAAGCGTGAGATTTGTTTGCCAAAGTAATTCGGGGGATGCCTGTGTCTTCCGTTTCTATTTGAAGCATTTCCTGTCGAAGCCGGCTTGGCTGGCCTGCCACACCTGATCGGGTAACATGCCCTAACCTTATAGTTAGTTAGGTCCTTCAATTATGCCTTGTAAAACCCTGTTCGCTATACAAAACTCACGCAGCCAGTACATAGCTCTTACACATCTATGCCACCACATGGGAGGTTCCGAAAATGATTGGGGGTCCTCATAATAAGGATCGTACTATTCAGGCTACTATATTGGGGTCGCCTAATTTCGGAAACCCCCACTTGAAACCCTCACAGACTCCTACCAACACCCTGCCAGCTCCCGAGAAGACCCTTGCAAAGCCAAGCCTGAGTTGTTGCCAACATTCTTTCTAAGGGTTCCTGATTCTAACAACTATACTATGTTCCTGATTCTAATAACTATACTATGTTCCTGGATTCCAAATAACTAGACTATGTTCCTGGATTCCAAATAACTATACTATGTTCCTGATTCTAATAACTATACTATGTTCCTGATTCGAATAACTATACTATAGTATCCCCCAAAAAAGACGCTCCTCTAATTATGACAGCTCTAGGCTCAGATTATCATCGTGAGACCCTGGCCTCCACAGGCATCCGAGAGCGGTGCTTCCTGGCAAGGAAGTTTGGCTTTGGCCTCCGACGCTCCTGCGGCACTTGAGAGAGGTAATGAGGCTCCAGGGTCGTAGGGTTTAGGGCTTTGGGGTTTAGGGTTTAGGGTTTAGGGTTTAGGGCTTTGGGGTTTAGGGTTTAGGGTTTAGGGTTTAGGGTTTCAGTTCTATGATGAGGGCTAAAACAAAGGTTCTATACTGGGGGGTCCTGTGCGAGTGCTACACGTGTTCTCTAAGGGTTCTCCAAGATTTTTAAAAGGGTCCTAGACGGGTTTGCGCTCAGTACCGAGTTGTGGGAGTCTGGTCATATCATTGTTGGCTTGGTGGGGTCCAGCTTTGGTGCAAGCACGGCGTACCAAAATCTGTCTCCTAAAACCCAAAACCTAATGTGTAAGTCCCCTGTAGACTACATAGCATGCAGAGATCGAAAAAAATGACCCTAAATCCTTTCTCAACCCCAGGGTCCTGACCCCAAACACGAAGCCCAAGATGTGGGCCTTGACAATTAGAATAGAATGTTGGTGGTCTTTTTATCATGTACCTTAAGAACCCAAAACCCACTTGTTTGTAGGCTCTTATTATAAACCCTGATATGGGATTTATAGGCCCTACAAAAAAGTAGGTTTTGGGTTCTTAAGGTACTTATAGGGGGGTTTCCGAACATAGGGGACCCTAATATAGTACCCTAAATAGTAGGATCCTTATTATAAGGACCCCAAGTAAGGTACCCCTAATTTTCGGAAACTCCCATAGGGGCGCAGTATCCAGGAACATGATTCCTAAAGAAGCCGACCCCGCAGTCCTACGCTCCAGGATCTTCGCCGCAAAGTCTGAACTCCAAGCAGTCTCGAGTTGAAGAGGGTTTGGGTTTAGGGTTTCGGGTTTAGGGTTTAGGGTTAAGGGTTTAGGGTTTAGGGTGGTTGTAGAACCTAAGTCGAGTAGTTCAGGCTTCTATACGGGAGCATCAGGCAACAAATCCCAGTATAAAAGCAACAGCACTCGGAGGATAGAATAAGGGGCCTGAATGATTACCGAAACTATTTTTGGGGGGTTCCGTTTTAGAAATAGAGTATAATAGACCCCCAAAGCCTATTCTAGTTATGAAGGCCCCTACATTACCCCCGAATCCTTTGAGCCACCTTTTTTTCTGCGCACTCGACGTTCATCATGTCGGTTTTTTGTCCAGGATTTGGTTGTTTTAGGGCTTGAAGGCTTTAGGGATTCAGAGTTTAGGGCTTACGGCTTTAGGGCTTTAGGCAAGAGCCGCAATATTCGAAGCCAAGCGGCAAGAACTGGAATCGGTAGAATCACTTGACAAAGTAGCCCAAGAAAGAGCAATGGAATTACGATAGCAGCCTCATCTAGGCAGTGTTTGGGGGGGGGGACAGTTTGCATTCTCCTTTTATTCGGTCGAAGAGGATCTCATGTATGAGTCCTTGTCGAAAGGTTGATACGAGCCACCTATCGTGAAGGTTTTCATTCAACCGTTCCTCACATTCTAGTGGGTTTCTTGCTTTACTCAACCGTCGATGCCTTTCTTGTGGATCGCCGAGGTGGCGATCCGAAGCGGAGCACTAGCGGCCTGGTCTATGCGGCTTTTAAAGGGGAGTTTAAAAGGTTTTGACGGGGGGTTCTCTATGGCTTCATAGCTTTGCATGTTGGGCCAGGTGCTTCGGGGGTGTCTGGGTACGAATCCTACTGGTTAGGGTGTCTTTCGGGTCAAGGCTTTGGGGTGTTCGGTTGCAGGCTTTCGGGTTCTGGGTTGGGGGGGTTTTCGGGTTTGGTGTCTACCGGCTCGGGGTGTAAGGGTTAATAAATATATATATATATATATA